CGCGATACAAGAGTACATATTGTTCCAGATTAAATCTCGAAAAGTAGATCTCACAATACTCGAGAGGGGTTTCTTGTAAAGTTTGCAGCTCGAGCCTTGTAAAGTCGCAAAACAGGATGCCAAAATATTCACAAGCGGAGGTGATAAAATGAAAAGTTCATACACATTTCAATCATTCAGAATATATAAATCTGCAATATTGAAAACCTTTAATTTGATCAAACAAATCGCCCTATGTAATACATATTTCTAAAATGTATGTATATCAAAATTTTATTATTTATAAGAAATATAATTTACTTCAAAAAATATATTCTAAATTAACTTAGAATAATACTAAGAATTTTACTACGATAGTATTGCCAACATATCCTTTGACGAAACGCTAAGGCATGAGTGTTGGTTTGTCACTTCCTTCTTGTGCAATCTGTATGGTAATGAAGTAATGACGCTCACATATAATATATAAAGCACTACATATACAAAAAGCGGCCTTAGGAAAAGCTAGAACATCAACTAAATGAAAAATGAATCAAACATCAGTAATGAAACTGATTAAAATTGATTAAGTAACACAAACGTCATCTATTCTTGTTTTAACTATAAATTGCAGATAAATATGAAAAAGGCATCACAAAATCGCATTTTTCAATTCTCTGAATACAAAATATTCTATAGTGTGACACAAAAATGATTATATAGAAACTGAAATATGGATCGATAAGATCTTATCATTATATGTAGTCTGTTTAATTTTAATTCGACCAGAAATTTCATCGAGAGGTACCCATAGAAAGCAGCAGATTACTACCTATACGATGAAGGTACCCTGCTTGAAGTTCTCCCTCTTAATATTCGGTATAGGGAATCATCTCCGAATCAAGGAATTTGCGTGACACGTTGTCAGAATATTTGTTCTGCAAACGACGAAGAAATTAATACCGCAAATTGTAAAGTGTGTGCAAAATAATTGATATTCAGAGTAATTGTTCATAGGAATTTGAATACCTAAGCTGGGCCTTTGTCTGGCGTGAAACGGAGATACAAAATTAAAAAAAAAAATTACCAAAACGGAAAACAGGCGCAGAAATAAAAATTATACAGTATTTCTCAGAATGCATTCCAATACTGCTACAGAAAATTCAGTTTAAGACTTGTTTAAAAATCACATACTAAAATACTATACATACTATAATAGTAATAAATTAGGAATTTGCCCGAAAGCAGTTTTCTTTCCTTTTCAGGATCATGCTTTCAGGATCTGTCTACTTTATCTTCTCCATTTACCTCCAGCAACACATTTAAAAACTTTCTAGATAGTTCTTGTCGGTCTTTTTTAAAGTCCATGTCTCTGATCCGTACAGTGCTATGCTCTAGACATAGCACGTCATTATTACCTTTCGCAAGTAGAGACTCAGATTGCTCATCAGTAGCGTTCTCTTTTTCGTGAATGCCCCCTTGGCGTTCACGGTGCTTGCTCTCCATATTATATATATATATACATATATCTTTAATGTATGTTTATAAACAAGAATATTTGGTCTAAAATAAGTAATATGATATTTAATGCTGACAATATATTATAAATATAGTACAAGGCCAAGTCAATTCGAAAATTTTGTAACTCTACCGCAACATTTCGAACCACTATCCGACAAATATCCATATTATCTGCAGAGATGATTTACTTCGCAGCACATGACGAGTGACGGATACCATGCTGAATTATAGTGCGAGTTAGTTCCGTTGAGCGATCTGTCGCAAAATTCAGCGCGCGTGACGGACTAAAACCCTACGGACGCGACGAACTGAGAGCTTTGCAGGAGTAAATTCCAATTATGGAAAGATAGCATAAGTTAGCTGATCGAAGAACGCTAAACAAAAACCAAAACGAAGAATAAAATATGAGAATTTAAATGGAGAAAAATGAAAAATTCTGCAAGTGCTTATATTTGCTCTAATGATTATATTTGCTCTAATGACAATTTCATCTTATTAGTGATTTATTAGCTATGTTTCAATAATATGAAGCCAATTCCAACATTATTTACATTACTTATGATAAAACTCAATATATATTAATTAAGTATTAAACTAGTGGGGTGTTTGGCATAAGGCAAATTGCTGGAACTTCCCATACCGTAACGAATTGTTCGAGGAATACTGAATGTTTCCAAATAGATTATTATTAATATTGTAACATTATCTAATATTTATAAGAATTATATAAACTGAATTGCAAAGTTGAAATTATTTGTTTAAAGTATATTAGAACTATAGTCGGAATTATAAATAAAATCTGAATTATTTTCGATATACAAAAAAAAAGTTGGAACAAAATTTTTTTTCCAAAATCAATTATTTTGTTAAGACAAGCAGTCTTAAGTTCTTTGAATCATTTAAATAGGACGCTTAGTTCTCTCAAAAAATGTCATTTTTTTAACATTTAACTTTGTATCTTCAGAATGGCTGGGCCTGCCTTTGCCAAAAACTAGTAAACACTTCTCTCTAATCATCATTCAACCATTACTAATTGAATATTTTTTTGATCATTCAAATCGGATACTCCGTTCTCTCAAAAACTCGATGTCTATTTTCTGCACTCTTTGCTCCGTATCTCCAAAACTGCTTGACCTGCCTTTGCCAAAAACTAATCAGCTCTTTTTCCTATCGATAGGAATCGAATGTTTTTTGAACCATTTAAATCGGTTGATCCGTGCGCCCGAAAACGGAAATTTGTATCCATACATACATACACACACACACACATCCATTTTTTCTGAGGTATGCCAAAATGTTCATAATCTTCAAAACGTCGAGAAATGTAAAAATTTTCAATTCCGATTTTCGGCCCATTGCAATAACTTACCCTAAGGGAAGTTAAAAACTAGGTTTTTAAATGACGTCATAATGTCAAATACATTTCCCGTAAGAAACGGTAATTTATAAAAGCATCGTTAACGTACAACCGACGGTAAAATAGTTTGTGAAATGGTATAGATTGATCGCTTGCTATTTTCTATTCGAGCTTTCCACCCACATCGATATAAACCGTATGCCAAAACACCTAAAATATTGCAGATCATTTAGGCGTTGTCATTATCACCAGAATTGTGGCCTATCACAAGTTGCCGCCCTTACTTAGTTTCTACTGTTAGTAGGCAGTTCACATCATTGATGTGAAAGCAATAAAACAAAGTTAATTATTACGAATTCTCTAGATCTTCGACCTGTCGTTAGGGCAAGTGTTAACGATATGTAGGTTTTATGTGGATGTTGGTAGCATTAGAGTGAATATATTTTAACATACTTACTAAATTACTTACTAAACAATAATTACTAAATAACTTTAATACCATGTAATAAACTAATTTAGCATAAGCATTTTTATTTATGACAAATTAGATTCAAAATGTATAATATATAAATATACGTGAACAAACTTTTAAATAGCAAGAACTTCACTAGAGTGGTCAGTCCGGCGTTATATATCAAAATAATACCAAACGATAAATTATGATCGTCCTAGTCAAATCACCAATCTCCTTCATATTACCCAAAACACATCGTAAAATACATTAACGTTCAATATTGAACGCATATTCGCAAAGAATGAGAGAAAATCCGATATTGAAACGATGAAAAGCACATTTGATATCAGAATAGAGCATACGCCAGTAGAATACTGACAATAAGAGCTTTCGGCTTTATTTTTTTATGTCAATTTTATTTGACCACTTCATTCAACTGAATATGAAACCAATTCCCATATAGAGAATATACAGAAGATTTATTGAAATTTCTGCTTCAATCGCAACAGATTTAAAAAATATATTATTGCAAAATACAGCCTACTTTTTTCTATGCTAAATTAGTACATGTTGCAAATGCTTGCACTAATTAAAAACGTTGTCAACGAAAATAAGAAAAAGCTATTTTCTAATCAAATATATTATCCGCACACATACCAACTATTCCGTGTATCTGCGACGTCGTTTGGAATGCGACAGTGAAATCAAAACTATTTCAAGACGGCGTATCGCAAAACAAAGCAAAGTATTGCTTTGAACAATGTAATAAAACGTTAATAACGTCCCTTTATTTAAACTGAATATGCTTGAAATTTCGCTTTGAAAATACAAAGGTAAATCCAGAATAAGCAGAAAATATTTCTGCAATACTAAAAAAATCTTGTTCGTATGGATTATAAATTGACCTATATTATTTCGCAGAGATTTCTGCAAAATCATTGTTCTTCTCCGATGCATCATGAATCTATGTCACTTGAAGTTTTCCGTTAATGGGATTTTCCAAATACAATACGGCACGGTTAAACTTTTAATGGATATTTTCTCACAATCATAAGAGCGAAGGCACTGAAAGTTCACAACATTGCAGTTTGCGAAATATGAAAATAATAGACTTCAAAGTTTTAATACTTTTATTTTCACATATGTAGTAATGCAGAATTTAGAGTTTTTATAAAGAATACACAATTTTAGAATAACTTTCTACTATTACCAACGCATATTTAAGTTAAAAATTCAAATGATTTAAAATTTGCATTATATGAATGATTACTAAAATTGTGAATTGAAGAATATGTTAAACATATATTTTATTACAACCAAATTAAATTGACTGGTGATTATTTTCAATTAATGCATGTTATATCATAAGAAATTATAAAATATATTTCTGATTGATATGATTTAAAACTAGTTTCATATTGTTGCAGGTGATCAAAACTTGGACATCATTTTTCACTCAGCACAGAGGACCAGAAAGTATCCTGATATTAGTATATGCAGTTATAGTGTAAATATATCCAAAATGTTCAAAACAATACATTAATAATATAGAAGTGCATAAATAGTGTAGTGAAATGTCAAAACTGAAAATAGAAATGTTGCGAATAGAAAAAGTTTGCAATTTCAATCATAAAATATTGTGAAAACTCAAGTGATTAAATTCTACAATAGAAAAATTAAACTGCCACCATGTGGCCTTGGTTTTATATGGTGCTTATTGCACAAGCCCTGTCTACAACAATATTTGCATGTCCATCACAATGCTCGTGTAAATGGAAAGGCGGCAAACAAACAGTGGAATGTCCAGATAAGAATTTGCCATCTCTTCCGGAAGGTATAGATCCAGGTACCCAAGTTCTGGAATTTTCCGGAAACGACTTGCACACGTTACACAAAGAACGTTTTCTTCGTCTAGATTTGATTAACCTCCAAAAGATTTTCATGGCGCGTTGCAGGATTACTCGAATAGATGAGCATGCATTTAAAGGTCTTTCCAACCTAGTAGAATTGGATTTATCTCAAAATTTGTTGAGTTCGGTTCCCACTGATACTTTTTCTGATTATCCTTCTCTTATGAGGCTATCCTTGAGCGAAAATCCAATAAGAGCTTTGAAGAAAGCTTCTTTTAAGCATTTGAATTTTTTGACAACTTTGGAATTAAGTAACTGCCAGATAGAACTGATAGAAGATGAAGCATTTTTCGGTTTGGATAATTTGGAATGGCTTCGATTAGATGGCAATAGATTAGCCGCAATACGAGGTTCTCATATATTACCAGAATCTTTACATGGGATAGATTTGCATCACAATCGTTGGCATTGCGATTGTAGGCTATTAGATTTGCATAAATGGTTAATGACATCTAAGGTGCCAATAACAGAAGATCCAAAATGTAGCACACCGAATCGACTAATTGCTCATAGTGTTAAAACGTTAGGTCCAAATGACTTGGCTTGCTTACCAGATGTATCGCCAACAACACTTTACTTAGAAATCAACGAGGGTAAAAATTTGTCACTTCTCTGCAGAGTATCAGCTATTCCGGAGGCAACTGTTTCATGGTGGTTTCAAGGGCAAATACTACAGAATGATTCATATGTTGCACCTGGTTTACATCTATATTACTACATTGAAGAAGGCGGAGAAGATAAACGTAGTGAATTATTTATTTATAATGCTAATTCAGATGATAACGGAACTTTTGTATGCGTAGCTGAAAACCCCGCAGGTAGATCCCATTCAAATTACACTATACGAGTGATAGTTCGACAGGAGCCTGTTATGGTCGTTGTATCTTTTCCCTTTGAATATGTCGTAGCCGCTATAGTTGCAGCTGGGGTGGTGAGCCTGATTGCAATATTATGCATCATAACAACTATTATCAGATGCAGAACGAATGTAGAGCGATTTAAATAATGCTAGTGAATCACAAGCCGAATTGAATAAACAAAATGAACAAGAAAGTCCGGTTTAAAAAGTCCTGAAGGATATGAAGACGAAGGGCAAGAAAATGATATATGACAAAAACGAAAGCAGGAGGTTTCCTGCTTAGAAACGCTAAAAGAAGAAGCAACCGGTTCGAGTCCAGCAAAAACGGCGATGAGAGAAGACACAGATGGTACAAAGAAAACATAATTATGTGTTTAACATCGGAACGAGACAGGGTAACATAATGTGCAATATAAAACAACAAAGTTACAGATTTTCTGATTAAACAATGGTTACAGAACATTGTAAGTTTAGCGTCAATACGTAAATCTCGCGCACTTGAAAGTGTTTTAAATTTCAAATAACTAATTTTAAGGACACGAGGATAGTGAATAGTTTTGGAGTGTACATATTTGATCCCAGTCTTAAAATACGAATAATTTGAATATGGTTATATTAATGGATTCATAGAATTACGAAACATGTAAATATACAAAATGATTTAAAATAATGAAGAATGAGACTATTGAGTTGTTAAATATATTAATAATATATGATTTAGAATTGTTGTAAAATCACTAGTCTTTAAGCAGTGCATTTATACTGTAAATAGGTAATAATTTATTAAGTTACATAAATAACACTATTTTTCCGTCGTTGATAATAACGATGAGCACATTTTAGAAAATCATTATTTCGACGAAATTAAATATACAAATCAGTAATGATATTAGATCTATGAAAGTATATGAATAAGATCATGCTGATCGAAACATTTAGTAATATGTAATACGATGATTGATACCCGAAAAACGTTGAATTTTCATTAAATATATACTATATTTTAACTGAATACCATTAAATATTTATGTTGAAAATTATCTATGTTCATCCACACACGTGTATCCACATACTATTTGAAAGTGTTAATATATTTGGTAATAAAAGCATATATATCAAAAGATTTTTCATTTATTAATTTTTATTACCTTAACTTTTTTTCAGATCAATGAAAAGAAAAAAAGTAACTGTTTTGAATCATTTAGTTTAGTAAATACATAGTTATAAATTGCTATTTATTAATAATAGTCAAAATAATTAAAATACTCTCAGTTGATACAAAGAGCTGATTAGGAAATATCTTGGGTGTTCATTTGAGGCGAAACAAATCAGGGGCTCGGACTGTTTTCGAAGTTCATCTACGTCTAAGCAAAATTGCCACGAGGCAGCATGGAGGGAATTTCACTAATAAAGAAGGCTTTTCTTTGAAAAAAAGTTTTGTGTTTAATCAGTAAGAAGGTGTTACATGCAGAGAACTAACCATTTTCCTACTTGTTAGCTACAAATAGTTTTATTGCAATACGTACCAGAGTTTGAGCATTGGATGTAGCTAGTAATCTTGCATTAGGTTTATCTAAAAAGAAATTCTAACGAGATGTGCACATTAAATATAAATATGTATTCGTGTGGGGTAACCTATAAAACTATGAATAAGTAAATAACTCTCTACAAGTGCAAATTAGTCTGTCTCAAAGCGAGAATGTAATTTTTTTCCATCCGTTTCCAATGTTTACCATAAATTCATATAAAAACGTGCAATGTATTAACTATATTTCGAGTTTAGTTTCACAATGTATAAATGTAACAATTTTATAACTTTTGAATGTTTAATTATTTGCTTATATGTGAAAACGTACAAAGCCAAATACAAATGGTACAATCTCATTGCATGAATAAGTATGTCATATAGTAGTCATGTACATAAATCATAAAAGCTGCGAATGTAATTATTCACAAATTAAGCAAAAGCATATAGCACGATAGCATTTTACGATCTGGAAAATATACTTTTAAAATATAACATTTGATGTGATTTTTTTGTTCTTTAGTTAGTAAATAATAGTTTAAAGAACGTAAAAAACATTGAATGTATTGACTAGAAAGAATGTTAAAAATAAAAGGTAATACAGCTTGGAATGAATCGTAAAATCGAATTATGAATTCGAAAGGTTATTTAGGTTTAATAACATCGAAAAGTTATTTAGCAAATTCTAAATTTAAGCGTTAAATTTTAAAACAAAACACGGCAGCAGCAGCAGTGTTCACAACGAGGCACAAAATAGTCAGCCATTCAGTTTATTATTTTGTAAGTTTGAAAACATTTATTGCATTGTGTAGGACATGATTAAACAGATGCAATTATGTTAAATAGTGATTCACAGTCGATCTGACTCCCACATTAATTTTACCAGTCAAAAGTGTACGCATAAATATAAACATGAAAAGAAGCCAAATGTCCAATGCCAATATAAAACCTATTTTACGTATAATATACCATCCAACGTACCATCCAACTAATGTAACAACCATTTTGTATATGTTGTATTGAATCAGAAAAGAAAATAATTTCAGTTTCCAATCTGTGGGGCGTTTCTTATGAGGGGGGCGCTTTGCTGATTTTGAATATAAACCAAAAAGGTCGACTTGATATCAAAAATGAATGAATAAATAATAATTTTCGAGTTGTCGCATAAAAAGCAAAAAAGTCGATTCGATATTAAAAAAATGAATAAATAAATAATATCATTTGATATTTATTTTTACATAATACATAATTATATCAGTCGAGTCGAGTATTTAGGAAATTTAACTGATAGGATAATTAAGGTAAAGCAAATTGTTTTTATATGGTGGGACGCGGTACGAAAATGTTGGAAAGCACTGCTTTGAATGAACATCATGTAAGGCTTATAAATGATAAGTGCAAATTTCAAAACTCGATTCTAGCAATTAACAATTTGAACTTGCAGTCAAAACAAAGTCATGACGATGAAGAGTGAATACTACATGACAACAAATAACTGTAAAACAGTATTATAAATCTGGCAATAATGATCAGACATGTGGATGACTTAATTTTTACTTCACGCCAGAAAAAAAACGTTATTTAAGGTAAGAAGCAAAACTCATGAAGTATATATATATACCATATGCAATATTTTAGTAAAATATACCATAATAAAAATCTATATTAAATAGTAAACATCTATATTATATAAGTTTGAAAGATACTATATATTATTTATTTATATATTTTTTTTTCTATTTATATTTATATTTATTTATTACACTTATTACACTGTATATATAATATATTCAAGACTTATATAATATATATGTTTATTATTGCATATTTCTTTAAAACACATTTTATGCAAGAGCGTAGTGTGCCTCTGCGGGGCCTCGTATCAAAATTCATTTGGGGAAAAGGATAAAGATTTTTCACAAAATAATTACTCTGATAAAGAGACATACTTTATTATCAACTCATTGTAAGTTTGCAAACACATGTATAATTGCCTATTCTCATTTACAAAATATTACGGATATGCCATAATTTTGAAATCTTTGCGAAGTAATATGAATTAATTCTGTCGTTTTGGATGTAAAAATTGAAAATTGGGAACTTGTAAATGCGTTTATTATTAAATAAATTATATTCAGAAACTAAAATAAAATTCAACAATTCGATAACAAAAGGATATGTCAACTACGTCGGAATTATTTTAGTTTTTGGAAAATCGCTTTAGTTTTATGTAAATCTGCTTAGGCTGATTGGGTCCCATATTATTCATACGGCGGTAGCTATACGCCTCTGATTTTATGCATATGAAATGTACGTGTGATTCAATAGTTATACAACTTGTATTCAGTAATTTGTATTTCATTACTTCATAAGCATTAAAAAAATGTTGAAAATTAATTGAATGTTGATATAACGACAATTTGCAAAAAATAAAATTTCGATGGCATAGCAAATTTAAACAAAATGTAGATCGGCAGAAAATAAAACTCGCATACACCTCTGAAACCACGTACTACTGCATAGCAAAGGTCGATACAGCGATATTGAATCGAAAATGATAATCTTATAGATCAATGACTGGAATTTTTTTATAGTTAAATAAGATAGACAATTTAAACATGGAATTATAAATTATAGTAATTGTATTAAACAATTTACAATTGAAAATCGTGCTTGCCTTATACTAAATGTTGCCAAAAACAAAATTATTCATTGTTGCATATATCACGATTCTATATCTGATTTCATTTATTAAAATGAAAAATAATTTTGTAAGTATTTAGTGGAATTCAATTTTTTTAGTGCATCATATTGTGACTACGTCACCTGCGGCTGCATAGCACCAGTTTCAATAGTATTTCAATTTCCACATGATTCGTAATTAAATTGTATTTCGCAATTTCATAATCATGTGGCTTACTTCATAATTTATATTTATTTTTTCATTTTTTTACCTCATTGGTTGGTTTTTTTTTTTATGAAACAATCTTTTTAAAATCTGTGTTTGATCCTAGTTTGACAAAAAGAAAATTTTAGATTGATAAGAAAAAAAAAGAAAAATGACGAATATATGCGTGTATTTTATTTCATGTATCGACAGAAAATAAAACTCGCATATACCCCTGAAACAACGTGCTACTGCTTAGAAAAGGCTTATGCAAACTGTTAATTGAATCGAAAATGATAGCTTTATAAATCAATGACAACAGTTTTTTTCGAAGTAAAATAAGAGACAATTAGACATAGAATTGTAAATTATAGTATAGTTTTACAATTACAATACAATTTTAAACAATTTGCAATTGAAAATCGTGCCTGCCTGTACTAAAATGATAATTATATATTAATTTGTTTCTAAAAACAAAATTATACATTGCTCATATATTATATTACGATTCTATCTGATTCCATTTATTAAAATTAAAAATTATTTGGTAAGTATTAAGCGGAAACCCAATTTTTTTTAGTGCAATCCTATTATGACGTCACTTGCGTCAGTTACAAGGTTTTCAATTTCCACATGATTCATAATTGAAATTTAAATCTTTGATTTCATTTATTAAAATGAAAAATAATTTTGTAAGTATTTAGTGGAATTCAATTTTTTTAGTGCATCATATTG